GGATACTCCATCCATTTTATATTACTCTGACAGGTGTGCGCTTGCATCTATATAATTGTTACCACGCTTAGTGCGTGCGTTCAGCAAAAACGCCAGTCACGTATTATATCCTCAACTTCTTCAGGTGTCTTAGGACATTGTTCCTTAGACAGAGAGATTCCATGTCTGAACGGTAGTAAACCTTTCTTGGAATTTTACATCGAATATGTGACAAGCATTTTGTCGATATAAGTTGCTTGAGACAGAGCTAGCATTCTGTTCTTTCGATTCTTTATGATTTGAATCCTCATAACAAACTGAGCATCTCCCAAATCTTTCATTTGGAATTCAATTGCTAGCCATTTCTTAATGTCAGTTAGGAAACCTACATCATTTCCAATGAGTAGGATATCATCCACATACAACACCAAGAAAGCTACAGTGTTGCAGGTATACTATTGCTCGCGCCAGAGGGAATAAGTTCCAGTACTCCTTGAGGTTCAACTTCTAAACGTCGAACAACAAGGTCGAGTACGAAACCCTTACAGTAGGTCTCTGCATAGCCAATTGACTTGAAGCATCATCAATTAAAATCTTCAGTGATTCACAATTCATTGTGAATCAGATAACAGAGAAATATCAGGCTAAAGATGCTCGAATGGAAAAATATATGAGCAAGACTAAGGCTCTCCTTGCTTAGTTCCAAGAATACCAGATCGAACAAATTCCTAGATACGAGAATTCCAATGCAGATGCTTTAGCTAAGTTGGTGTCTACCTACGAGACTGACCTCTCAGAAATGGTCCCCGTTGAGATACTAGATACACCCTCAATTCTAGAACAAGATATGATGGAGGTTGATCAACCGAAAGTAACTTGGATGGATCCAATCAAATAATTCATTTAGGCAAAGAAGCTCACCCGAAAAACAACTCGATACATCATCTGAGATAGGAGGCTCTACAAGAGAGGTTTCTCCCTACCACTGCTCAAATGCTTGAACCTAAATGAGGTGAATTATATCCTAAGAGTAATTCACGAAGGTGTATGTGGGAATCGCTCGAGGGCTAGAGCTTTGGCAGCAAAAGCCGTGCATCAGGGATACTATTGGTCAACCTTGAACGAAGACCTCA